ATGTGTATACATATATACATGTGTATACAGAGTATGCATCACATCATATACATACATACATACAGACATACATACATTGCACTAATACATTCTCATACATTAATACATACATACAGGCAGACAGACATATACACACACATTTTTATATACATATCAAAGCGCTGCCCAGCATCTCTGAAACTGCCCAGGAGGGACTGTAAAGCTGCGGCCTGCGCTACGTTCACAGAGAGTGGCACACCCATGGCATCTGCTTTGGAAACTGCCTAGGCTCCCCAAAAGCCTTTTGGGGTTTGGGGTTTAGGGTTTAGGGTTTAGGGTGGGAGACAAAACGGCAAACTTTCGGGTTTGCGTAACCCCAAAAAACGGAATTTAAGGGTGCCACTGGGCTTCCTAGCTGCGTGGCTCAGCACGGCAGTCTCCCAGCCTTCGGACGAAACCGGGGCTTCGAAATCGGCATTCACCGTCTCCAGCCACAAACGCGGTTCCGGCGGCTTCTTACCACATCCCACCTTTGGGGCTGGCACCAAGAGGGGTTTATGCTGAATCGCGAGTATAGCTTAATCCAGAAAAAGGAGTGTATGGCTTCTTCTGATGAGTCTTCTGTTTATGATAAGGTGATCCCAATTTTTTCGGGTTCATTTAGTCCCCAAGGTACAGACCACAGCAAGCGCCAGTGCGCCCTTCCCACGGGGTGCTCGGTCCAAGCAGCGACGCTGACCAGAATCACCTTGTGCCGCGCGTTTGCCAGCAGAGGCAGAATGCATTGGCTTTCGTAGTCGAAGCCATGTGAGGGCCCACCGATCTTCGTGGCCCAGAAGAATCCCAACTCTCCAGGAGCATCCTCGTGAGTCTTCAGACCACCTCTGTGCTCTTGCGCTGTGGGCTCCTGCCAGAGACAGATCTGATGATCGGATAGGCCACGCAGCTGCTCTTGACCCCTGGGTGAGCTGTAGCGCCACTCACTGAAGCCTGTGCTGCTCTTCAGCACTGCTTCCGTGAGAGCCAGCACCACGCCCTTCAGATCATCTTCCGGTAGCGACGCGCCACACATGGTCTGCGTCATGCGACCTTCATTAAGCGCACGGAGAGGCAGCAACAGCTCAGCTTGCAGGGCTGCCACGACGCCGGGCCAGGTCGCTGCCGCGCGCAGACGCGATTCGTTCGCCACGCCGATCTCCCGAAGGAACTCTTCGGTCAGTGTGGCCCGCATGTCCTGTCGGTCCTTGGCCGATGCAACCGCAGTCCGGAGTCGAGCCCGTGACGCTGCGGCCCGCTTGCGCGAGGCCGGGGAGCAGGTGGACCGATGCTTGCAGCTCCGATACGCCGCCCGCGAGTCAGGATGGTGCCAGCCGACCCCAAGAGTCTGGTAGTCGATGCCCATGTGAACCGCCTGCTTGGCGAGCTGCGCCAGGACTCGAACAATGTCCTGGTCGACTTTTATGGAGCGCAGGCGCTGGGCGAGGTTGGCATCTTCGAGAATGTCGGCAACGGTCTTTAGATCAGTCCTGCTCGCATGTTCTGAAGTACTCATGGCATCTGTCGGCTCGCGAAGGCATTTACAGGTGCTACAGCAGGTCTCCCGTCGATGTCTCATATGTACATGCTCGGACTCTGCGCGAGAAGGCTTAACGCTTGGCCTGCAGGTTTACTTTTCTGCCTTTTTCGGACTGGTATGGCACCCTAAACCCCTAAACCCTAAACCCTAAACCCCATGGTCTTCTAGTACTCTGAGCTCGTGAGGATTTGTAGTATTGCGTGCTCTGAGGCCCGAGAGAGTTGTCTTTTGCGAGTGCAGGACATACCTAGGATTGAGGGCTTGCGGTTGCGAAGCCACCCAAAGCAATCAGGAGAAAAAAGCATTGACACACTTTCCTGAACCCTTAGCCCCTAAACCCCACACATGTTTGACTTGCCAGTTCCGCCCAAAGATCCGAGCTCTGTTGCTGCAAGTGCCTGGTAAAGTGGATCTCGGGCGCAAACATGTAATCCAACAAAACCCTAAACACAAAACCCTAAACCCTAAACACTAAATCCAAAACCCTGAAGCCTAAACCCTAAACCCTAAACCCAAACCATGTGCAGACGACCTGAAAACCCAAAACCCTAAACTCAAGGTCCAAGGATGTAGCCCTAAGAGGTTCCCTGAATATATATATATATATATATATATACTCTCCTAATATGGCCCTCATATTCTCTGAGAGGATCATGGCGAGAATATAATATATATATATATATATACATACATACATACTCTCCTAATATGGCCCTCATATTCTCTGAGAGGATCATGGCGATTTGAAACATTGAAGACGACTTTAGGGTTGCAGCGGCCCTGAAACCCAACCCGAAACCCTATAACCCTTGTGAACCCTAAAACCCCTATAACCCTATAACCCTAAACCCTAAAACCCTAAAACCCCATAAGGCTACGACCCAAAGCAGCTGTCCTGGACAGGCTTTGCCTCAGCATCGTCCAGGTGGCGGCACTCCGCTGCCTGCCGGAGGTTTCAGGGGTCCCTGATATTTGCATAGATTGACACAAACCCCTAAACCCCAATCCCTAAAGGCCTGTACCCTAAACCCTAAACCCTAAACCCTAAACCCTAAACCCTAAACCCTAAACCCTAAAGGCCTGAACACTCAAGCCGAAACCCAACCTAGGGGACAAAATCAAGCCTACAATAGCTTGAGTGGTCCGTGTAGCCAAGGCATCGTAGTCGTATAGGGGAAACTCTAAACCCCAAACCCTAAACCCTATTATGGGGTTCATGTGGTCTCCTTAAATATAAGAAGTGAACTTACATGACTGGGGAAATCCTAGAAGCAGAAGAAGGGTTTTGGGTCTCGGGCTTACAGTTTAGGGTTTGGGTTTAGGGTTTAGGAGCACAGCAGCAGAACTACAAGAATTCAGGCCAAGCACTCCGGGTACACGTGTAGTCAACACTGCTTAACTCCAGAAAAAAACATCAACCACTTGCATTACACAGCTGATTGTCTGCCCAATGTCTGCCCCTTTGAGCCCTGAACCAATAACCCTCTATACTCTAGACCCCTAACCCTAAAACCCTAACCCCTAAACCCCGAAACCCTAAACACCGAAACCCCTAAACCCCCAAAGCCCTGAACCCCTGCCCCCTAACCCCTAAACCCCCAAACCCCCAAACCCCTAAGCCCCTACAAACCCCTTCCCGCCTTTCTTTGTGCAGCACGCCCTCTGCATGGACTGAGAAAGCTATGCGCAGAACTCTGGATTCTTAAGGAGAATGGCTGACTTGTCCTTCATGCTTCGGTGGCACTGCTACCCTAAACCCTAAACCCTATACCCTATGCCCTAAACCCTAAAAGATGATTCAGGGTGTAGAGATTCGGGCTCGAGGGACTAGAGAGACTAGGCTATGTGCTCTCCCTGACGTCTGGCACTTGCCAATCTGTGATGCCTGCGTGCACAAAATGTCCCTGCCCGCCAACTCGGTAACTTCGGCTGTCAAAGGCAGCGGGTCAACGCACGTCATACGTCACGTCTCGTAAGAGCTACAGAGTGACATTCCGAGATCTTGAAGACCACGTGCACAGGGTAAGCCAGCCCGGGTCTCTGACATGTCTTTGTCAGAAACATTCTTTATCTACACTGAAGCTACTTAAACCTACTTGCGACATCACAAACGCGGGATATATGATGGAACAGAGGTCCTACCCATGATTGCCTTTTTACCCTTCGTCCCAGCCACAAGACGTGCCAGCAGTATTTCTGTCGCCCGTTCGGCTTGCTTGCTTTCGTATGTATGCCGCTTTGCTTTAAGGTTTCTCTCCTTTTTCCTACTTGAGGTACAAGTAGGTTTGAATCGCTTCCCGTGTGCACGAAAAAGCCCAGCGATGCACAATTCTTGACACTTCGGGGGTTATCCCTAAACCCTAATCCCTGAACCCTAAACCCTAATCCCTGAACCCTAAACCCTAAACCCTAAACCCTAAACCCTAAACCCTAATCCCTAAACCCTAAACCCTACTTCCTAAACCCTAAAACCTAGAGCCGAAACCCTAAACCCTAAACCCTGAACCCTGAACCCGATACCCTTACGGTTACGGTGGGTCGGGACTATAATATATATATATATATGTATATATACATATAGGGTTTAGGGTTTAGGGTGTAGGGTCTAGGGCTTTGTAAAAGAAAGATCAACATATTCCGAGAACATGACTACACAAACATCCGCGCTAAGGTTGCCCTGTAACCAAAACCCCAAACCTTAAGCCAGCAGCCTGCCAAGAACAAAACAAATGCTTGCCTTCACAAGGCTCATAAGAGATCCGAGCCGTAGACGAAGGAAGAATGCGTGGTTTAGGGTTTGGGGTTTAAGGTTTGCATCGTCGCTACATGTGTTGTCATCAGCACCTCCCCCCAAAGACCCGGGACCGAACAATGCCCTGAGGTTCAGGGGTTTAAGTTCTTTTGGTTTAGGGTCTGGGGCTCATGTTTAGGGTACAGGCTTTCGGGAAAAAGGCTCCACAAAATGATAAACGCTAAGCCCTAAACCTACAGACCCTAACCTGCTATTTTCTTAACCCCCGCCCCCCTCTCCCAAAAACAAATGAAATAAACAAAGATAACAATCACAAAAACACACAACGAGAGAGATAAAAGTTACCTTTGCAAAGAAGACTTATTAATATTTTCATTTTTTTTTTTTTTGGGGGGGGGGTTCTTAAGCAGATGGTAGCAACGGAACACCCTTAGATCCGACGCATGGGGTCCCCTGAAGGAAACCCTAAACTCTAAACCCTAAACCCTAACCCCTAAACCCTAAACCCTAAACCCTAAACCCTAAACCCTAAACCCTAAACCCTAAACCCTAACCCTACACCCTAAGCTCCTAAAAATGCTGCGAGCCTCTCGGTGCAGAGCGGCGGCTGAAGATGTACCTCTTCCATTGTTTAGGGTTTCGGGTTTAGGGTTTAGGGTTTAGGGTTTGAGGTTTAGGGTTTGGGGTTTAGGGTTTAGGGTTTGGGGTTATTAGGGTTTAGGGCTACTAGGGTTGTTGGGGTTATTGGGGTTTAGGGTTATTAGGGTTTGTGGTTTAGGGCTATTCGTGTTGTTCGGGTTCTTGGGGTTTAGGGTTGGGGGGTTGAGGGTTGTGAGGGCTTAGGGTTATTAGGGTTTAGGGTTTGGGGTTGAGGGTCAATCTTTTGTGGGGGGGGTGATGGGCATTCGAGATGTCGGCAGTATTCCCACGCAACTCGTGGTAGTCTGTTTTGCCAGCTCTCGCAATGACGCCGCCCTTCCTGTCTCCCTTCGGTTTAGGGTTTAGGGTTTAGGGTTTAGGGTTTAGGGTTTAGGGTTTAGGGTTTAGGGTTTAGGGTTTAGGGTTTAGGGTTTAGGGCCAGAGACCTGACCATCTCGTTTCCAGTGGTTTTGCCACGCTGTGACGCTTAGGGTTGTGGGTTTGGCAACCTTGTGTGAGGCCATGTGCCCGTTCTGAACCCCGAGATTCCTGGCTGTGCCGCTGACTCCGGATGATTGCACACACGTAAGGACACAACAACTAGTGACAACTACTCCGGCGGGATTGAGCACAGGCCCAGAACCAGGGTTTAGGGCTTAGGGTGTAGGGTTTAGGGTTCAGGGTTAGGGTTTGGGGTTTAGGGAGCACCAAGCCCTATCTTTGAATCAAGGAGCTCAGCTAGTCCAGGGCAGTGCCCTGATCATAACCCCTGCAAAACCCTGTAAGCCCCACGAATTCGGGTTTAGGGTTTAGGGTATAGGGTTTAGGGTTTAGGGTTTGGGGTTTAGGGTTTAGGACTAGGGTTTGTTCCAACCCTGAAACCGTATAAAGTCTATGATAATGAGGCCCTAGAAACCTTGCCCCAGCGGGGAAAAAGGTGCAGAGGGCTCCGTTTTACGATTTCGGAGATTACCACAAGGGGCACCTTCGTCCCCAATCCTGAAACCCTAAACCCTAAACCCTAAATTAAATGATAATCCCTGAGCCCTACGTGTGGGCTCCGGTTGTAGTACGCGGCTTTCAGGGCTGAGTCTTCACCATCAAGGGACTCCACTTGTTTTGGGATAAGGTTTCAGGGTTTCAGCGTTTAGGCTTTATGGTTGTCAGGGCCTCTGACCCCAGTGGGCTTCTAGGGCTAAAGGTCTGTAGGGCTTTAAAAACTTGAGGATTTAAGGGCTTTGGGATTCGGAGTGTTTGGGGTGTTTAGGGATTCAGGTCTTCAGGGTTTTAGGGTTTCGCTGCAACATCCTGGTTCATGCGGGAGGTGCTGGCCAAAGCGGCGACTCGAGACATGTGGCGGATGTTCACGCCTGCGGCCAGCTTGCTGCTGTCTAAGGCACCAAAACCTAAAAACCCAAAAACCATGATCTTAGGGTACTATCATGGTCCCTTGGTATGGGCCCTGGAAAGGGGAATTTCTTTGTACCCCTTGTATACCCTTATAAGGAAAGGGAACAAGGGAACAAAACTTAGGGACCATGTTACTGCCTTTAGGCCTAAAACCCTAAAACGCTCCTATGGAAAC